ATTTATCTAATTTTTAAATATATACATGTATTTTTCATGTTTTCCTTGCAATGAAAAGTTACTTGCTACAAACTTGCGCTGTCCCGTATTTCATTTTGAAATTAGTTTCCTGTAGCTGTCACGTACACATGACTAGAAACAAGATAACAGGATATATTATGCTCGCCAGACCGTCCGTCTGTATTAGCAAGTAAAATAGCTCGATTGCCGTGCAGTGAACCAAAGACACAATTTTGTTCTCCTATAAGCTTCGACCCTATTATATAGATTCTATAATAGAAGCTTATTGCGTTTCGATACCTAATGTTTATAAATTCCATTTGAGTTCTGGTTTTCTGATAATGTTTAGAATTTATCTGAAAGATTCTTTTAAAGAATTTTGATTCTGTTTAGATATTGTTCTCTGCTGTATGTAAATTAGTGCTCAAACCAGTGTTATTGTAAGTTCGTGGTTAAATTCCTTATATAAAACAGTTATATGCCGTTGATCTCATTAATAGACATAGATCCCGTCATATTTTCTCTATATTGCAAATGAAGTTAGGTTTCTATACCCGCTGATTACTTTTCTATGACTAGTATATATTACTGTAATGTGTATGTATATAACATACACTTTCAGGTTCAGTCTTTCATAATAATAGTGAAATGTTTGTTAATTCATTTTATATATAAATAAACCTAATGTAGTAATATTTTATTACAATACGTTTTATCGTAGAAATATTATTAGATGTTGAGTAAAATAGTAGTTTTGATTACGGTTTTTCAAATTGCTAGTCTCTAAAGCCAACTATTTACGTGTCTCTGGTTTTAACCGTAATAGTGTAAACAGCGTTTCACGCATGCAATATAAGAGTTCACCTTATAACCCTTTGAAATGGTGCCAAAAAAGCGCTACACTACAAGCGCTTGTGACCGCTGTGTGTTGGCAGTTGGCACAGTAGCCCGGATCTATCCGGCGATTATGTCATGCATAGCGATGCCGAACGTCCGTTTGTTCGTCCACATTCTCCAAAAACAAACATCAAAATTGTTATTTTTTATTGTCACTCGGACAACGTAACGTCGGTGTTGAAGTTTCTGGAAGATCGCGCATATAAGCGGGTATTTATCTACAAAATGCATACTTCTGGCATCAATTTCTTTTTAGAAATTGTATTAGTCGTAATTAAGTAATCAACCTAGAGAAATTCACAAATTACTTATTAAATTTAGTACTCTTATAAAGAATGTATATTTAGGAATTTAGACTTTTATTATATTGAAATAGATATTACGTAGGTACCTAATAAATAAATTATTTTATTTATTTTTAACCTATAATAACGAAGCACTTCAACAATACACAATGCATTTTTTAAGATTGAGTGAGGAATGTAATTGGCAATGTTTTTGTATGCCGTATTTTGAGATTGCTATCATAATCATATTTATTACAAATTTAATCTTAATAATAGATAGAGTCAGGTCTGCTACTGAGTGGAATCTACGTGCATGTATACTAATAGTAAATAAACTTACTAAGTTTGTTTGTTAATACTGTACTGGTAACAAATATATAGATCCTATATAATGTACACTCAAATGAAATCTTAAGAAAATAATGTGTTTTTATAACCGAATATTAAAAAGGAAGACAAATATGAAAAGTTGAGTAATAAAAATAAAGTTTTAAATACAGCAAAATAATTATGAGCCCGCCTTGGTACGCATATTATATAGATATAATTCATAATGTAATAAAGGAAAAATACCACAATATAAAAGCCAATTTTAATTTTAGATACCTCTGTAACAGAATAGCGAGCATAATACGTAGGTTCTTGAATGAATACTAAATCTCCATTTAAACATGTTCAGCGCATGAACAATAGTCTTGACCTATTTCAATATAATTTACTCTTCTTTATGAGATCAAATTGAAAGTAGGACGTATGCCAGTACAAAACGAGATACAATTTTCTTCTAAGAATTTTCTTTACATGTGACGAATTTGTAGAAATACCTATTGTCTGCATCATTATCCCACTACGGGCCAAGGGTTGCTGGAAAATATATATGATTGTGAGTGGCAATCGTCTATTCTAAAATGTCTATCAATGTGATAGAAATTTTAGAATACATGATATGAATATAGATGATTTTATATTAGTGTTAAGGATAGAAAAAATTTTACTGCAATATTTTTTCGAAAAAATGTCGAACTTTTAGCTATCATCTAAAATCAACATGTGATTTTTTGGTTTCTATTTTGAGCATTAAGACTAGGCAATCACGAGTCAGTAAATGAATCAGTCAATCAAGATCTCATCCAACCCGTGATCTCAAAATGTTTTCATTTATAGAATTTAGATATAAGTAGCAGTCTTCTTTTTGACTATTGTATAAAACTGAAACTTTGCAGCCAAGTACCCCTTTTCATATATCAACAACAATTATTATAAAGTAAGTATGTCGCCTTCAATAATGGAGGTAAAATAGTGGTAATAAAAGTATGATGATTCAAATGAGGTCAATTGATTTATTATAACGTACTCATCAGGAAATTTTCCCGTTATTTTTGAAAAGGTACCGCGTGAATTTATGTATAATTTTTAATGTTATTGGATAACATATGTTCCAAGGTTTAAGACTTATTATCACCTTTACGATTACATTGCTATTATACATTTACTAGCTATAATGGTTTTTGTAGAGCGACAAGTTATGAAAATTATTGTAGACAAGTCATTGCAACAATGTAAATGCAGGGTAGACCACTTTTATGGAGTTTTATCTCACTATTTAATAAAGATTTTGGCTTGAGAGCATGCTCAGAAATATTTTTTTATTATCAGATTAACAGTAGCAATTGGAAAATCTATAGGCTTCATGACATTTATTAACACATAACTTTACTTGGGTACTTTACAGTTATACTTTTAATCAAATACTATTATATAATTTTAAAAAATCTCACGTTAATGAGATAGTTATTGTACTCTATAAAGTGAGATTGATAATGTCAGCCACAAGAAACTTTAATTGAAAAATAGAAATTGTTTCAATTCAATTCATCAAGATTTTAAATATTATAATATTATGTTCTATAATATTACAATATTTTCATAAAACATACATAAATAAATATATACATAACTACATGTATATATAAATATACCATACATAAATACATGCCTATATATTTGTATCATACATAGAAGTTGTTCTTCTCTTCATCCAATTAATAAATAGTATTAAAAGTACTGATCTATTTTTAGTTAATATATCCACAAGCAAAGGTGAAAATGGTGGGTTAACTTCCCACTACGCGTATATCTACCGAATTATCTCAGTGTGGCAGATTTGTAATGAAAGACAAGATCAGTGGCGTACTGTGTTTATATTGTTGTTCCAGTCGACTCCAACGTAATGGGCTAATTTTATGAATGGAATATTAAATACGATCGTTATGCTAAAACGGTACCGGTTAATATTATGAATAGGTATGAATGAAATCAAATTTATGGCGAATTCAGTTTTTGCCATGCTAATTTCTCCTTGCTACATTATGATTTAGACATTACAGTTGTAAATCTGAAGCGCATACTAGTTATGTTTAATTATAATTATCAGATTATTACCGAATATAGATATTGACTGAATTTCAAATATAAAACATAAAGTTGTAGATCCATTATGGAACTACATTACATAGAAAAATGAAATAAGGAATTTTATACGATTTATTTACATTAAGTATGAATTAAAGCGATAGATCAATTACGGAATAAATATTTAGTACAGATATCCTATGGTATTTTCTAAACACAGGGTTCTGATATCGCTATATATATTTATTAATAGAGAAACTATTTTTAAAATTTTGCACTCATAACTTTGTATATCACATAACATATCAACGTTACAATGAAGCAAAATTATTGTTTGATATTTATAGCATCGCCATGTTAACTGAGGTAAATTTTAATAATATTTTTTCTATTAACAAAACGGTCATACATACTACCTATACAGTTGAGTCTATAACTCGTAGATTTTTATGTCAACTCCAGTTGATTGCTAACTACCTACGTTATGTAGTGCAGTGGAAGTGGTCAATCAGTCTAGATGACCTGCAAGTTTAGATATACTGGGGCTAGTTAGTCTAGTTTTAGCCAACGTTACCTAACCAGCTCGTAATATTCTATTTCCTTAGATATCTATATATGTTATGTTGCTATATGTTTCCATTTGATTAAATAATGGAAATCAAATCGTTCAGTTTCTTTTATATTTAATATAATTTATAATTTTAGATACGTATGGTATCTAAAATTATAAATTATATTAAATGTACTTGTTTACATTAAATACTCAAATATTCTGTCTAACCTAGTGTATTGTTTTCATTATCATAATTATTTAGTATATTGTGATTGAACTATTATATAATATAATTATACGATTTAATTGACTATTGTTGGGCACCGGCGCTATTGTTGTTATGTTTATTGTAAGAAATAAAAATTATTTAGGTGACTAAAGAAACTCCTACTGTATATTGATTACATTATAAATATATTATATACATTATAAATTTAATCAAATAATGGACTTATAGCTTTTAACAGACTTCTTCGCGTAATATAATAACATTGTATCGAATATATATTTTATTAAGTTATATTGAATAACACATGTTTACCGTAGCCATTTCTGTATACCATTCATTATGTTTGCATATTAAGAAATAGTTAGAACTTAGTTGAATTTTAATCGTGTGTATCCTAATATGTCTGACTAGTACCCATTGTATTTAAAAGTTCTTCCCCGTTACTCGTCCCTAAAATAGGCAAGGAGTGTGTGTGCAATATTAATTAGCAATATACGGCATATGCAGCAGCATATACGGGTACAGTGCGGGTGAACCGGCCTCTTGGTAGTGCGCCCGCCGGCCGGCTCCCTTCGTGTTCGAGAGCTATCGTCGCGCGCGCACTCGTGTACACGTCTCCGCGTAAAAATAAAGTCCACAGCGCGCTCGCGCACTTCAACCTATTTATAATTATCAGTAAATCGCCGCCCGAGCGCACGACTGCCGCGGCCGGCGACCGCTCGCTGAAAAGTAAATTACAATAGCTAATCTCGATGTCGACCTAGCGTCCCCGTCCCGCGTGCCCTACGCGACCCAGGGACACGAATGTATCGGAATCCCTAACACTAACACTCTGCTGATATTGTAGAGATTACACCTACGTAATAAATATTATCAGAGTCGGGGTGTTAATAAAACCGCATATGATTGGACAATACGTGTGATTTGTGATTACGATTATATTGTATCAGTGATAATAGTGTATTGAGTGTTATATAAACATGCCTGATAGGCCTAAGCGTCGTAAAAACAATAAGAATAAGCGGAAAGCAAAAAATCAACGTACGGACAACAACAAAACTCGTAGTAATGTGAATTATGCTGGTGATAACGAGAGTTGTGCTAGTGCTAGTCCAGTTAATTTAACAGAGAATGTTACACCAGCTGAATACAATGTAGACGATTCATTAAATATCAAGGAAGTGCTAAAAAATAATAGTGATACATCACAACTTGACAAAGTGCAATATATAGAAACCAGTTCCATTTCCCCTGCACGTTTTATTCCGGATGTAAATAATGATAGTAATAATAATAGACCTACAATGAATAATGATACTGATATTCAAGATAATGTTTATGTGGTTGAATCTCCAGAACAAACGTTTAAAAATAAAGCAAAGTTGATTAGTTCTATTAAAAGTAAAAGTTTAGATAACGACGATGTGCCACAGATTGTCGACATTACTGATGATAATAATATTCAATCTGAAGACATGGCTATTGCAATAATAGAGAGTAATAGTGCTATAGTATCTGAAGTAGAATCTGACGTAGAATGGGAAGAAATTGATGATTTACATGATGACCATCCATCCTACAAAAAAGAATTAGCTACAGGTACCTTATCAATTACAACTATTCCTCTTAATACAGCTCAATGCGATCAAACAAAGTCACTTACACCTGAGGAGGAAAAATCGTTGAGACATTACCTTCAAACATTAAACTTATCTAGTAAATCTAATGTGAATTTAATTGAAATTAATACGGAATTAGAACAAATTATAAATCGAGAAGTTCGCCATAGATTGCGTAAAAAAGGTGTAACAGATGATTTCATTGCTCAACGACTAGGGCCTACTAGAATATTGGATGTAATTGATGAAGAAGGTAGTGGTGAATCGTCTGTCACATCACGTCGTCAATCTCATTTGATTGATAAAATAAGTGATAATGAAGAATTGGAAGATGATGTTTTCGAAAACAGAAAAAATATAAATAAATATTCTACAAAGATGGTAAAGCAAAATACGGGACAAAAAAGTTTCGGAAAATTATTGCCACAGCAATGTGTTTTAGTAGATGCTAAGTTAAAAGAACCTGAACTGACAGAAGCACGAGGAGATTGGGTAATGAGAAGTTTAGAAAAAATGACTGGGGCTGAAATAGTATATTTAACAGATTCTTCAAGTAGTACAAGCTCTGTACATGAAATTGGTGACGAAACCGATGAAAGTACAGAAACAGATGTATCAGTACGTATGATAACACCAACAATTGAGGTAACTGATACTGAAGAACTGCTAAAAAATACATTTTTGTCTAGTAACAAAGACAAAATAGAATCGCCTGAAATACAAACAGAAAATGAAAACCCTAAGGAATCTATTGAAATAGAAAAAGTTGAAATAATATCAGAACAGATGGATCAAGGTATACAAAATCCGCATGAAATAGTTATACTGTCTACAGACAATATAAAAACTGATCTTTATGTTAAAGATTTTGAACAATCTAGTGCAGATTTAAGCTCACAAGAGCAAGTTAACATTAGCGGTAATAAATTAAAGGATGACACACCTATACATATAAATGATACCATGTCAAATATAGATATACAAAACACTACCGATAATTATAATCTAGAATTAAAAGTTATAAAATGTGAATTAAATGATGCCATAAATAATCTTATAAAAGAGGTCAATACAGATTCAAAAACTCCAGCGCAAATAAACAAAGATAATTTCACTCGACAGGATTCTTCTAGTAGTGTAACTTCATCTCAGTGTACTATCAAATATAACCCAAATTATTCTTCCCTTAATGATTTATCAAACAGAGTTCATGATGATACATGCGATATTACTAATTCAATTACAGAAATAGAAGATGTACCAGATGCTAAAAGTCATGTAAAGGATGTATTAGGATCTGTTACAGCAACATCTGCTTTATATAAGGATAAATCTAATAAGATTAAAAATAAACAACCATTAAGATTACGTAATATATGTATAAAAAAGATATCTATGTTTCCATTTGGAGATAAAATATTGGAAGAACTAGCTTTTGTTTCTGAACGGTTACAAAATATTAACATGACAGGCGTTAATGTTAATAAAAATGAGTCAAGTCAAAATGAAGAATCATATTTAAATACAATGGAACATTTCCAACAGAATGATATATCAAACATTGAGGTAACATTATCTGCAAAAGTTAAAGATTCTCTTCCACCACCAATAAAACCACGGAATTCATCTCTGAAAAAAACTCAAGATGACACTCATTGGAGTGGATTACCAAGTAAGAATGAACTTGCTTATGTGTGCTTATCACCATCACAGAAAATGCTTATGGAAAAGACAAATACAGTGATAACAAAAGAAGACACTAGTGATGTTCTGGATTATCATAAAAAGTCTTTTGATCCTTGTGGATATAATCAATTTGAAATGGAAAACAGAGTTGAACATGAAAGTAATAATATTGCACCTATTATACCATTTAAGTCCCAAACTGGAAGTCGTTTGCTAGCGTTAATACGTGATCCTTCCATTACTTATAAAATAAATGCACCAATGAATAAATATAATAATATAGATTACGATCGTCAACCAAAGTATAATATGAACAAGAAAATAGCTTCCGAAGGAAACTTTCATAACGTACATTCGTTGCGAGATTTCCCGAATACTTTTAAACCCATTCCACCACCACGGCCAAAAACATCGTCATTTTATGAAAGTGAAGACAGTGCAGATTTCACTGATAATTCTTTTCGATCAATGAAAAGTGAACGGAAATTCTTTCATTACTCCACAGGAAACTTAAACAAGGAGATCGAAGATGATGTTTCTTCTATACAGAATATGCATAGACACTTCACAAATATACGAGACCGTGGCATTGAATATCCACGCCGACCATCCTTGCCAAAAGATTTATGTGAACAACAAATGGAATATATTCGTCAAAAAGAAAAGGAAGTAGAAGCTGAAATACGTCGTATTGAAAGTGAAAAAATGAATGCACCACAGGTTCCTCAAAGAAGACCAAGAGCTCCATTAATTTCAGATCAAGAAGAAATAATAAAAAATGACAGTTATCTTTATAAAAGGAATACAAAGATCAACTCGCAACAAGAAAAAGGAGATAATGCTCGATTACATTCGTTATTTAGTAGCAGTCAAGAAGAGTTATTACGCGACAAAATGTATTCCGAATATGTAAATCAAATGCATGAACGACAAGAAAGAAAACATCATAAAATTATAAAAATCACTAATACAGGTAGTACGCTAAATGCACAATCAGTATCTAAAAGTATGCCAGCTCTCGATATACTAAATTCAAAAGTAAATAATCGTATCGAAAAAGAGTTTATATCTAAAGCTAGAGAAAGATGGGATAAATTGGGAATAAAAGATCCTGAAACAGAGGATGAACGAGAAGAGAGAACGGATATATACAGGGAACCTAAAGTAATAGAACATAAAATAAAAGTTATTGACGATGGTAAAGAGACTAGTGTTCAAGATTTACCAAATCATTTGCAAGACTTTGTGCGTTTCACAGCAAAAGACAAAACAGACGGGAAAAATAGTTCTGGTGAGTCTAATGGTGAACCAGCAGCATCGCACGTTGTAGTTTTGTGTGCAGTGATTATATTTATGTTGACTGTTAAAGAATTATTTTGGAGATTGTTCCGTAATAAGTAAACACTAACGATAATACTGTTTTGTAAACTTTAACCTAGTTTGTTTGAATTGTGTTTGCTTGCATGAATGTGTACTCATTAACTACTTGATTATATATTAAACTTCATCATCTTATGTAAGCTATTATTATATTACCAAGATAACCAAACTCCTACAACACTCGATAGCTGAAAATGATTAAGGTGAGTCCTTTTTACAAATATATCGCAATTATTTAAATACACAGGTACTGGCATCAATCAAACCCTTGTTTTCTTGACGTATGTATTTTTAGGAAAATAGGCGATGTATATTAAAATTTATTTAAGAACCAAATATTCCTCAAATCTGTATGTATATTAATGGTAAAATTATTTAATTAGGATTATAATATGTATGTATATTCTCGTAATATATATATAGTAATAATAATAAATCTATTTATTGTCAAGTATAGTGTTTGTACCTAATACATTATACTAATATTAGACAAAAAATATTTATATTGTTTTATTTTCAGGAATGACTGAAGAATGGTTTACGATAATTCTTTCACTAATTGCACAAAAGTATATATTATAGTATATAGGGCTCCTAATAAATATTTATTATATTTACATTTACAGATTTATATAACCACAATCTAAAGTTTTGTGTTCTTTATTCTGTAGACTTTTTATTTATTGTAGAATATTCATGATTTTATTTCAATATTAGATAAGTCATTGGTGTTTCTCCTTACCTTCGAATTTATACATGAACAGTATTCCTGGCTAAAATGTAATGACTCTTACGTAAATCCGCGTACAATTGATTTTATGTATTTTATTATACATATAATATACATGGATTAAAAGCATAGCATGATATACGCATCCTTGGAGAATTTTGTTTATATTAAACATTATATGTTTTTAATTCTTATCGTAATTATTACCTGTATAAACAAGATTACCCTGCGTTGAGGTAATTACATTGATTAGAATGCGTTACAATAGATAAAATAATATTTTGTAATAATTACTAAGACGTAGTATACTGATTACGGTATACCAACATTTATACTCTTACTAGAGTCCCGTCCCGGCTTTGCACGGATGCATTACAAATCTTTGGATTTACTGGCTTGTTCTATACTATAAAACGCAAGTATTATACATATAAACCTCACTCTTGAATTACTCTATTTATTGCTGAAAACCGTATTAAAATCCGTTGTAATTTAAAAGATATAAGCAACAGATTGCGGAGGTGACTTTGTACTGTGTAAAGATTTATAGTAATACTTTTTATTCATTTTATACTCTCTTATTAATAAAAATAGAAACCTTCTACAACCAATATTAACCATTGAAGTATTTTATATATTATTTATAATTAGGGAAATATATATACTTATAACGTAATGATAGAGAAATTCTTTCACTGTTGAAAGGTACTTTATTCTAGAGAAAGATCGGTTACACAATAAATAATAATAATAATATCTCAGGATAATTCAGACAGCGCCAACTAGTTTCAAGCACAGCTGTGTGACTAGACAACTGATATAAAGACTTAGATACATTTTTTAAATACATAATATACATAGATAAAACATCCGGACCGACACAAACAATTATACTCATGAATCAAAATGAACCTGCAACCATTGGAATTAAAGCGATGGGTTAAACCGTGTTAATATATACAAACTCGTTATATTAGATAGTTTAATTATCTGAATAAATTCCGAAGGGCTTAACATTCAGATTATCTTTACATTTTATCGATTTACATATAATTATGGAATCATGACACAAAGTTAATCAATATTCTAGTTATTTATTAAACATATAGTGATTATTTTCTTAACGTCAATTCAACTGTTGGTAGGAATTGTGTTTACTAAAGTAAATAATTTGCAATGCCAGTGAAGCGAATGTGTCGCCAGTGAAAATATTTGGATCGTCTAAATCGGTAAATGGCCTTTGGTGACTCAAAGTCGCAAATACGCTATTTGCACTTGCGTCTTATGGATACGTATAAATACGATAATAATATGGTTTCACATAAAATGTTGTGATATTTTTTCGAATCAAACAAAAAATCTATACGGGTACAAAGTCGCTCTCGGTTAGTTAATAATATCTATCGACTCCATGACTAATTACTGTAATTGAATTTATAAAGCTGAATAGTTTATTTAGTTGAACGTGCTAATCTTAAAGATTATAGGTTCGAATTTAAAAAATATTTTTAGTAGTTGTAGAATAGCCCATTTATAGAATAAGGCTAAGAGCTATGTAATATCACGTTATGACTAATAATGTGTGATGTGACGTTACACAGACGAAGTTGCAGGGGCAAAATATATTTTCACAGAGTCTTCTATAACTCTGTCAGAAAGTTATGTTATATGTATATCTATATAAGGTTGCTAAATCAGTCAGATACGACTGTTTTTGCTAGGTATTATTCATCTTATTTTGTAAATGTACGACGTTAATATTTTCCTGTCATCTGATCTGGTATGCACATACATATAATCGTAAATACAGACCACAAGGTAGACATTCGACCTCCGTGATTAAAATATGTCTAACAGTTCAGTTTAGACTCATTTCATTTTTATCAATACTTCAGGTTTACATCACATAAATAGGTGTTAATCCTATACGTATATAAATTCAGAGTGTGGTTTATGTAAATAAAGTAGTTTTATATATAAAGAATGTATTAGCTGGTCTAAAAAATAATATTCTAAGTATATAAATAAATTTCCTGCTTAAGTAGTGGTTTGCAGATTATTAAAATTGTGACCACATATAAATGACAGACTTATGAATCACTATGAATAATAATTTCAAACTAGTCCAGAAATATTTTCACCGACTATTTCTTGCATTATTTGTTAGTTTTTATTTGAAAGTAGGTACATGTTTTGAGACAAACGTTATCTCTAAACTTTGAAAAAAGTCACATTTAATTTTGATTCTTCTATGTTTTTCTTATTGAAACATTTTGATTAATTATTTTATTATTAATGAAGTTAACATTTTTAATGAATAAATAAGTGAATTGTAAATCCCATATTGCGACGTGAACAACATTTGCAGGCAAACTCTATCTAAATTATCAATCGCTCTCAATTAAATTGTCCAATCTAGGGTCGCCATGATGCAGGGCCATAACAATAACGTTGGAAATTTAATTAACACCTCTATTTCGGTATATATAAAGGCTGTTATAGGATATTGTGTGTTATCCTATAATAGATAAGTTTATAGATAATGAATATCCAATTAAGTGATGTTGACATTACATAGTAAATGCTAAATTACAATATAGCTGTTTTTAAAAATTACGACCAATGGCCAACTTCTGTATGTGACTTTGATATAAAATAGTAAGATATTTAATTCTTTTTAAATTTTTAATCAGTATTTTAAATGTGAAGAAAGCTAGTAAAATATTTGCCATTTAATCACAAGATAAGATAATAGATATGCGGACATAATTTAAAACAAATATTAAAAGTATAATTTGACTTGGGAAATAACAGTCGCATTTTATGTAAATTTGCCACTGCCACTTAGTTTACAAGTAACACAGTGCACGATAACAGAGTCATAGTCCTCATACTACATTTGGTTCTTGTTCAGTTACAATTATTTCCTATAGAACTATATATACTCTATAAATATTAAAGATTTCAGCTACCGCGGAGCTAAAATATATCGTCGAGTATTATACCCTAATGTGTTCATTTTAAACATCGTAGTTGCAAGATCGTATCATGTGGAATATTTTCCATGCGGCTAATCAAACGAGTCATCCAGGAGATAATTTGACGTGTCAGGGTCCAACAAAGAGTGAATGTCAAAGAGCCCGCGGGCGCGCCGGAAACGATTTGACTGCGGAAGTGACGTTATGGTGGGGTCGCGAACAGACGCGACGTGTACGTATGTCTACCTACGTAGGCATAAGTAGTTGATATTATGGAGTATATCCACATATTTAAGATAACATGTCAGTAGTACAATAATACTAGCTGTGCCCGCGGTTTCACCCAAATTAAATTTATAGCCTATATGTTATTCTAATATGTAAGCTATATTACTGTAAAGTTTCATTAAAACCAGTTTAGTAGTTTTTGCGTGAAATAGTAACAAATAACCATCCATACCAACAAACTTTCGCATTTATAAAATATTATATTAAAATTAAGATATATATAGCGCTAGTAGGTGGGCAATTTAGTTACCTACCTGTTAACCGATTTCAAAGAAAGATTATAAAATAGTCGGTTTATACTTTTTATACAACTATATCGCATTGCTACGTCAACGTCAAGGTTAGATAATGTAAAATGAACAATCAGAAAATAGACACAATAAGTCAAGAAGGAGCAAATGAAAAATGAAGTCACTAATCTATAAATGTACGTATGTAGGTATAAGTATTTGGCATAAGTATTTTGGGTGCACATACTCGTAGCATGCGTGCGGAATTGAATGTATTTAGGTGAGCATAACTTTGCAGATTCACTCTGTGTTAACTTTCTTCTTACAGACATATGTATTTACGAATTAATTCCTTTCGTAACTTATTTATTTTCTAAGTTGGTTATAACCATTGCAATATTAATAATTAAAACATTTGTTTAATGTTTGACACCTTTTTTCATTAAAATTAATTAATGAAAAAAGGCGTGAATATTTTCTATTATTGCATTTCTTATATTATTTCCTGCAATATAAAAAGAAATTTATCAATTCAGTTTAAATTACAGCTACAACTAAAATTAATTAACTAAAGAAGATTCTAAATTTGTAAAACATTTCACAACTACATATATTATATACACATATAGCACCTATCTATATATTTGAAAATATACCTAGGTAAATACAAACAAATATGATTTCA